TTTTTTTTTACATTTATTAAAGATGTATGCTGTTTCATCTTGGAAAAAGAAAAGGTCAAAGAAATGAAAGCCCTAAATGACCCTGATAGTCATACCTCTGATGACTGGATGCACAGCTGGATTTGGGATCTAGTTTTTTAAGTTGTGCGTGACTGAGCTCAAAGAAACCGTGATAAACGGCACGTGGTCTCTAAAATAAACCGATGAGGAACATAACACCATGTGTCAGAGATCTGTAATGTTGCATTACATTTTGGTAAAATGATGGTCAAATTTCCATCATAAAAAAGTTGTGCTTCTCAACTCTGAAAATGTGCTTTTTTTCCTGTAGGTACAAAAGTCATTTAGGAGTTTCTCAGCAGGTAATCAAACTTTTGGTAACTTAGTTCTTCCTCGAAGTAGCTGTACTGTTTCTTCTCCTCCATACAGACTTCCTGTAAATTAATCTCTAACCTAGCGGCAGCCTGGGGAGCACGTAACCCTTCCAACCCTGTGCATGAGAAGTCCTAACCGTGTAAAAGTCCTCACTGACCTGCGATGATTATGTTAGGGACGTTTCCCTCTCTGGCGAAGACCTCCAGCCTGCTCACCGTCTCCTCGTTTCCCACAATCTCGTTCAGCTTCAGCGGCCGGTATTTCTCCACCCACGGTAGCTCGTAAGCGCTCCCGGAGCCTTTAGACGAGGACTCTCCGGCCTCCGTGTCCGCCTTCTGTCCGCTTTCTGTGGGTTTCTGCTTACACTCAGTCTCCGCCATCTCCACTTCCATGATGTCTGTTTCTGCTCACTGACAGCCCGCGAACGGAGGTTTCCCTCCCTGACAACAGCGCCACAGCAAACAAACTCCTCATTGGCTAAGTGTTTATGGGCGAAGGTCGTGATTGGCCAAGGAAAACCTCGCGATGTTTCACATTCACAACAGTATAAACGCGAGATGTCAATAAAAAACAAAAAACCGTTTCACGTGAAAACGAATTTATTTACTCTTTCAACTACATGTAATTGTATTTTTATTATTTTATTTTTATTTTTTGGGGGGGTCTTTTCAAATTCCAATATGAATGATTTACTTTAATAATGCAAAGATTAGTCGATTATTTCAGAACAGAACCATATTGTTAACAATTTAAATAATAATTTTAATAGCTTTAACTAAACATTTACTCATTCCTGCTCCTTTGTTATTGACTTTTTAGGACCTTCTTGTCATGCTTGACAAAGACATTTTTTTTCCTTCTGTATAAACAAAAAATACATCAGTAATGCACATTTCTCGCCGTTTTCTTGCTATTTTACATGAAAATAATTTACACGTTGTTTTCAATGGCTGCACGTAGTTTTGAAATGGGTTATATCCTTACACACAGGCACACTCATGCTCAGTATCAATAGGTACACTGGAGTTTCAGTTGGTTCTAATGGGCCAAACGCGTTCCAGGAAGATTACACCAATACCACCACCACCACCATTATACCACCAGCAGAAGTCTGAACTGTTGACACAAGGCTGGATCCATGTCTTTATGTTGTTTATCCCAAATCCTGAGCCAACCGTCTGGAAAACGCAGAACAAATCAAGGCTCAGAGCACGTAACATTTTTCAGTCTCAGTTTCGTGTTATTAGCTGACAGTAGTGGTCTTCTGCTGCTGTAACTCATCTGCTTCAAGGTGTTGTGTATTCAGAGATGGTCTTTTACATGCCTCGGTTGTAACTGGTTGTATGACTTGCTGCCTTCCTATCAGCTCTGACCTCTGGCCTCAACAACACATTTTATCCCAGAGAACTGCCGCTCACAGCCAAGATACAACACAGAACGGGACAAATTAAATCGATCCTCTAATTGAAAAAATTTTCTTAATTTTTTGCTGTGTTCAATTTTGTGACGTTTTATTAACTAAAAAAATAAATTTATTTAAATGAATTCTTTACGTTTGCTGCTATTTGTTTATGATTCTCTCCATATAAATTTTTATAAAAATTATATATTTTTATTTTTAATCTTTTCTTACTTATCTAAACGTAGTCTGTTTGTTTTATTTAATATTTTATTTTAATTTAATATATTAGTTTTGGTGTTTTGCTTCCCCTGCTGGTGACTCCGGGGTAGTTCGCACGTCTCCTGCCGGAATTCGTCATCGTCCGGGTCTGAGCCGTTTCCTACTTCCGCAAACAGAGGGCTGCGAGCTTCCCCGTTTATCGGCAGATCAATGCGGCGGCGGACTTCTGCTTCTCATTTCCTGGCTCTCTTTAACATTTCCGACACCTCTGACATTTATGAGTGATTGATCGGCGTCATGACGGCCAACAGCCGCTGCTCCGCCGCGGAGTCCCCGGGCCTGGAGACCCAGCGACGTGAGATCGAGTCTCTTCTACGGGAGTGCGAGCTCCGCGCTGGGGAGAGCTGGTGAGAGTCCGACCGCCTCTCCGCTCCACACATACACACACACACAGATAAACACGGTGACAGGGCTAACGATTATCTCCACACGGGTAACGCTGCTAAACGGTGATTAACCGCTTTAACTGTGGGGTGGAGCAGCTTTGGTGTGGCTGCTGGAGTTTTTCTGGGACGGTTTAACGGCTCAATGCTACGTGTTAGCCGTGTTAGCTTATGCTAAGCAGGCAGACGTTGCTCTGACCTAGCATGCGCTGTTAACGTTAGCCTGTCGACCAGCTGTCTC